CACACACACACACACACACACAAATGAGAACAATAGGCCAGATGCTCTGGTTCACTAAAATTAGTTAAAGTCTTTGATAGCAGTTATGATTATTTATACTCATCAAGGCCATTAGACCAGTAAAGACAGATGTGAATTTTTCATCTTTTGCCTTTGGTGTGGAGGAGGCTAGATTTCCCCTTCTACATGTGTTTTTGTATATTTGCTGTTCCCAGGCTCCACCCCACCCCCCAAAGGATTTGCCTATGTAGGGACACTCAGGAAAGTAGAGCTGAACAACTTATGAAGTTCAATTTAACCTGCATTAAGCAGCTGTTTGAACATCCTCATTCGCTCTTAATTTGGCATTAGGGTAAATCAAACTAAGGCATCTTAATTCTAAATGAGACAACCCATATAGGAGATTTAATGTGGTTAAACTAATCCACTTTAAAATTCACAGATTTAGATGATTTGGATTAATTTGCCCAAGTGTCTCTGGGCACGTCTACATGAGATGCTGACTGCGCAGTAACTCGTTACTACTGTGCAGTAGCACTGCATGGCAGGATGTGTGATGTGATACTACTGCACAGTAATAATGAACTACTGTGCAGTCAGCATCATCTAAAAGCCATTCGGTGACAGTACTGCATGGTAACTCAGGTTACTGTGTAGTCATTTACAGTAAAAGCTCTGTTATCAGGCATCCATTGGGAATAGGGGATGCCAGATAACAAAATATGCCTGTTAATTGAGTGGCCTGAAAAGGTATCCTTGACTGTGTCGGCTGCTGCTTCTCCTGCCACATCTGGGGTGTCACCAACCCTCCTGTGGCATTGCCGACCCTCCTGTAGGCCCTACGGGCCCTGGGAGCCCATGGGACAGGGAGGCAGGCCCTGCACAGCCTGTTATGACCCCCGGTCACGGGGGCTCAGTAGCACAGGCTGCTTTGGCCCGGGCCGTGGGGGCTCAGAGAAACTGGAAGCGCCACGGTGGGAACTTCCAGTTTTACTTTTCCTTACAAGCTAGCGTGCTGGCTTGTAAGGTGCCAGTTACTGGAGATTTTACTGTAGTACTTGTTTATACAAATATTAAATGACTGTGTAGTAACGACGGTGCAGTCAGCGTCTTGTATGGATATGGCCTCTGGGTAGATTCAGTGTCGAGCACCTTGGGCATAAAAAGCCCAAGTAATCAAGCTGGGTTTCAAGGTCTGGTGAGGTTAAGTAGTGAAATCTAACCCACATTCCTATATCAGTGAGTGGAGTTGTAAGCTGTGATACAATAGTAGTTGCTATTTTGCACAGCTGAAGGTTGTAGCAGGAACCCTTGGAAGTCTAGGTTCTAGGGTCCCCGATTTGTAAAAGCATAAATGCTGAGACTCCCTCACTGGCTCCCTCTAGTTAGTCTTCACTGCTGGCCTATGTGGTACTAATTCAGAACCCTTTCCCACAGCACATAGTGGGTACTCAATACCATTGCACAGGCACTGCATAAATTAATAGATTTTAAGGGCTTGCAAATTAGCTTTTTTGACCTTTTGGGAAACACAAGTCATAGAATAATCATATTAAATCTGTTGTCCTTAAACTCTATTTTTTTATACTGGTACTATATGTAATGCATGGCTGCAGATGACATGCGGAGGTTAGGCAAAGATGTGGGAGAAAATTTAAGCAAACAAATGAAAGAAAATGGCTTACAGAGGAGTCTGTATAGAATTTATAAAAGAAAGCTATATAGCTAAATTCCACAGAAAGATGAGAGAGAGAATAAGCATAGTAGAGTAAGGTTGGTGTACTGCTCTTTTTATTAAAATGCTTCCTCTTTTTCATTCCAGTTGTTCTTTACTGGGCTCTCCATCTTTCATTCTTAAATGATTTTGCCCAATTTCTCTTTCTTTGACCCAAAAGAGAAATACTACAAGTTTTATTGAATAGGAGCCATGAGTTTATAATCAGATAGGCTTGATTGTGAAGTCACTGTATGTTTTAGTGGGACCCAAAACAAGTAACCGGGAGAGAAAACAATCAATAAGGGCATGTCTACATGTGCATTTAAGCATGACTAAATTTAATGTGCATTAAGCTAATACGCATTAAGCAATTTTGACAGGTGTCTACATGTGCAGGGACTTGGCACTAAAGTTAATGCCAAGTCCCTGCAGCCCTGCAATGTGCTCCTACTGGCTGGGCAGACCTGGCAGTCAAGTTAGTGCCAGGTCATATCTATACATGTGTTAATGTGTTTTAATTAATTGTGCCTAAATTTGACACTTGCATTTGCAGGTGTCAAATTTAGGTGCAATTAGTCTAATTTCAACATTTTTAATGCACATTACAGGTACACACGTGTAGATGCGAACCCATGATACACATTAAATTAGCTAATGTGCAATGGTGCATCTTGTGTAGATGCACCCTAAGAGTCACAATTTTAATTTAAAGTGGGCTATAAGTTTTAGCAGTAGAGGTTGGCTGAATCTCTCCAAAAAGAATTCAAAGCCCAACTCTCTCTAACATTACATTACAGTACAGACAGTCCGCGGACTTATGAGACAATTGGTTCCTGAAAACTGCGTCTTAAGTTGAAACGTAACTTGGAACCAATTTTCCCACAGGAAACAATGCTATAAATGGGGGATTGGTTGCTGAAATTATTTTCATTTCACTGAAAATAATGCAGAATTTTGTACTCAATCAATTATAGGTAAGTAATATAGCTACTTCAGTGTATTTATATTGTAAATAGCAATCATATTCATTTGGAAGGACTTCTTTGAGGTAACTTTGCTGGACTTCTTGAAGGGTTCTTGGCTGGAGTCTCTCAGGAGTCTTGGTTGAGGTTTTTCTTCTTTTTTAAAGAAAATGTCCAAGGAAGTTTGGACAGATATTCTCCAGGGAGATGGGCAACACAGAGAAATTGTTCACTTGTGTGGCCTGGCATTGTATCGAGCGTTGTGAAGTCAAAATTGATGTCAGAAAGTTGAAATGGTGTCAATTTATAAATGTTGTAAGTACGAAATGTTGTAACTTGAAACATTGTAAGTTGAGGACTGCCTGTAATATAAACCATTTCTTTCTACACTTAGACTTTGGGTGCATTTGATTCCTACTTATTTCCTCCAAATCTCCAAACCATTGTTAAGAAAAGTTATTTTGCACATAAATAGCTGAAAAAAAATCATGCTATAAGATCTTTCATAGCTGAATCTTGACACTTCATAAAATATTTAAGTTATGAAGCTTCATTAGCATTAATCTATTGTGTATATAATGTAATAAAAAGTGTATGGCTTCCTTGAAATCAGTTCTTGGTCCTAATTTGCTCCATTGAAATTTTATTGATAAAAATCTTCATCTGGGTACACTTCAAGATAAGTTCTTAAATTCCCCGAGCCTTTGACAAATTCATACCGTCTTATTGTGATAGCAAAAAAGGACAATAATGATACATGTATTTCAGTCTTTGCTGACATGTGAGAAGATTAAAAAAATGCCACACTTGGGCAGACCTCAAGTTCATTTGGCCCACTACCCTGTACCCCACAGTGGCAGAGAATGAATGGTAAAGAGAAAGTATTTGTACAGAGCCTTTCCAGACTGATGTCCCTTATCTCTTTTTACTTCCAGCATTCAGCATGGATCATGATGAAAATTTAGAAGAAAATTGCAAGGTATGTTCTGTTTCTGGACATCAAAAAATACAAATTTATAGAGATGGGTGTAGAATCTGCTATAAATTACATGCCACAGCCACAGTATACAATCAAATCAATTTCAGGTTTCACATTCCACTGTGAAATACAAGAAGACATTCTTTTATTGTGTACTCGAGTAATATGATTGACTGGCAATATAGTTCAATCAAGAATAGAGAGGAATGCTGTCTCTCTCACAGCAGGATATTAGCAAACAAGGCAACAGTATATATGGATTTTCATTAAAGAAAAAGGAGAAGCAACTTACAGATTGAATAGAAAATATGCACTTTGGCCTTTAGCTTCAAACAACAGTAAAATGATTGTTATAATAACTAAATTGATAGAGCCTGATCTGTAAGCAGAAGTGCAATGACTCTGTACAAAATCTATACAATCTCATGATATTTTAGAAAAATGTATGGCTTCAAAATGCATGAACTTACCTAATGTTCTCCTGAAAAGTAAATAGGACACAAAGGAAAATAGATAGTCATGTTAGATTACTTATATAACTTACAGAAAGTAGTATCATAAACTCTAGGGCATATAGTAACAGTAATAACAAAGATGGTAAATAAAAACAGCAAATTTCAACAAAACTTGTGAAAGTATGAGGAGGGAGCTGATAAAGGTGATCAAATGACATAAAACACTAGATAAATGGAAAATCCTTGGAGGAAAAATAACATTGTAAATATTAGAAATACAGAAAAATAAAAGGGTATAAATTTGTACTCTTTGCTCTTGGTTAAATAGTCCTAGTGAGAGGAGAATTCTGGTGGAATTACCTATATACTTTTAACAAATTGAAGTACATATGTAATTTCAATAACTATGGACAGACATTCATTTCTAGGGTTGCAAATTTCTGGTAGTCTCCACCCCGCAGCCATCTCCTCTCACCAGGGTGAGCCCAGCCTGGGCAACATGATGAGAGCATTTTCCTATTGCTCCAGTCCTACCATTTCCCAGGAGGAGTTGAGCATCCACTGGTCCCTCTCACCCATCTTCCCCAGACCAGGATCACCCTGGTCTAGGAAAGGTAGGGAACTTTTTGCACAGGCAAGATCTTCCTCATTGAAAGAAGATCATCTTTTTCTCAGATGCACCACATTTCCTGAGGTAGAAACTGCACAAATGCCTGTTTGCTCTCAGTTTCTAGAGGGAAAAGGCATTTCTTCTGCTAGAAATGTAACAATTGTCCATGCCCACTATGATCATCCCATTAGGGAAATGTTACTTTTATGCCAACTGCAAAATAACTTGGATCACTCTATGACTACATATAATATGTAAAGATTATTGCATTGATATTTGAAGTCTTGTGCCCTGGAATCATTGCTTATATCCTACATCATGTTGTTTCCTGAAACAAAAAGTTACACAAATGGAATGCAGTTTGGACACAAAATATAGTTTAATACATATTTTTTCACTCAAAACAAAAAATCTTCATGCCAGGCAAATGGACTTTAATCACAACTTTTAACCATATGTTCAAGGTATAAAAGATTCACAAATAGAAAAAAATTGCTGATGAACATTCTTTTATTTAGTTAACTCTTCAGTGAACAGAAGTATTTCTATAACAGTGTTTTGGCCTTTCTTAAGGTCCAGCCTTGGGTCAAAACAATAACCATGAAAACAGCAGAAAGACTTTTTCATCCCACTCACCACACACAAATATACAATTTGAAAGGAAAAAAAAACATGTAAAAATTTGCTAAAATATCTCCACAATAACAAATATTATAATCTAACTAAAAAGATAAGCTTAATTCCAGGCTGTGTGTGAATGCCACTAGATTATGTGCTGCCTAACTAGCCTGCAACTCGAATTTAATTTAAAAATAGCTTCTAACATGATCTCCACCTGATGGGTTTCTTATGAACTGTAAGCTTTTCAGGCATGGGACTGTGTATTATTGCATTTGAACAATGCCTTATTACAACAGAGCTCATTTCTTTGCTGGCACTTAATAATTTGAAAATGTTTTTCCCTTGAGATTAGTTATTTTCTCTTTATGATGAATCCTTTATGCAGTTTGGAATTTGACTGATTTTTGTATGGTAGAAGGTGCACAAAACAATACAGTATAGGCACAAAATTTATTGCCTCAGCTCTGGCTTGGAGAATTACTGATGAATGATTATGATAGTAAAGTCCTCTAGGGCCATTCAAATTTAGGGCCTCTTTGCTAAAGGTTAATCAACACCAATGGCAATAGTGATTTTTAATCTGTTAAAACATGGGCCGACAACATACAGCCCATGGGCCAGATCCAGCTTACTGAGCTTCAGGGCTCTGCTTATGTCTGTGCTCATATTGGGGCTGAGCAGTCAGGGAGCTGGAAGATGTGTCTGCACTGCTGTTGCTTCTTTCCACCCAACTCTCCCTCAAGGTTGTGAAGTGAGCACATCTTTTACTTGGAGTGGAACTGCACAGGGACCTGGGCTGATAGAAGAGGGGTTGGGGATAGAGAGGTGCAGAAGCAGCATGGAAGCAATTTCCACCTCCCTGGCTCTGGCACAGCTCTGTTCTGGGTGGAAGTTATGTTTGAATCATCACAGCTGGGGAGAAGCAACAGTAGTGTGAGCATAGCTCCCAGCCATAAGGGAGCTGCGCAGGGGCAGGGAGCTGGAACCTGGAAGATGCTTCTACACCGGTACTGCTCCCCCCTTCCACCCTCCATACCCAACCCAGCCCCAGCACAGCTTCTCTCCAGTTAAAAGCTATGTTCATACCGCAGCTGGTAAACTGGGTGGGGGTGGGAAAAGGAGGGACTTGGAGAACAAGCAGCAACATGGGTGCATTTCCCAGCTGTGTGACCCCAACAACAGCACAGGGAAAACATCCCCCTCCTCCCCAGCTTATGTGCCAGTGGTAGCCAATGTAGCCACTTGGGGTGGCTGTACACACCACAGGGTTTAATCCTCATTAAATTAAATAGGTTTATAACATTTAAACTTATGTATTTTGGAGTGTCACATCAGTGTTTGCATGCACTTGGTTTTTGAACAAATTAAGCCCGGTCTCTGGCTGGTGCTGCAGGAGAGCGGGATGGTCCAGTGCTGCCCCCTTGGGCTGATACCTCCCACCCCATGCCCTGCCATGCAGCTATGGGAGCATGGAGCTGGCATATGGCATAAGAAAAAAAAAAAAGCAGAAGGAATTTGAAAGCAGAAGCAATTCAAAAGGGTGAACTACAAAAGTCGCAATGTCATCTGGTGGACAAAGAGGCTCATTACATGTATTTGAGTGCCTTTGTGTTTGCATGCAATGAATCCATGGGCATGGTGCTTTAATTTGTGGCAAGCCAAACTAAATTATGTCCAACGAGTTTTACTTCAATACACCAGAAAGACTTTTAAAGTGTCTGGAAAACCCACTCGTGAAAACAGTCATGCTGTTGCACTGCAAGAAAGGGTAAAAACCGTGGCGTATACAAAGGCCCCTGAACTGCATCAGACCAGAGCCAGATTGTTTCAGCCCTTGACTTGAAAAAGGTTGCTGACTTCTTTTTTAAAACATTAAAAGAGCTCTTAATTTTTAAAAATACAAAAGTAATATCTGTCTGACCTTTACATTAATTCTGGCCCTATTAAAGCCAATGGCACAATTCCTACTGAGTTTAGGGAGCTAGGATATCACTCTCTGGGAATGTCTACATGTGCATTAGTGTGCTTTAGTTAATGCTCATTGAATCTAATACCTGCATGGTAGGGCGCATTTACATGAGATCCTAGAAGCACAGTAGACTAATTCTACTGACCACTAGAGCATCATGGTGAAAGCTGTGCTAATGCACTAATGTTCAGTAGAATTAGTCTACTGAGCATTATTGTCATGTAAAAGACATGTGCCAGAGCGACTGTGCAGTAGTGCCAATTATGGCACATTAAGTTAGTACCTGTTATTACAGAGTGGCTATATATAACTGTGGAGGCTGCTCTGATGCACTGGAATTCCAGCATATCGGAGCAGACTCAGTTAACCAAGTCTGCTGGAGCATGACAATTGCTGTGCTCCAGCAGCCTCCTGCATCTTATGTATCAGTGTCCTGGTGCTTAAAAATGGTGGCGTGGATGCTTGAATTAAAGTTCATTGAATGAGTGTGTTAGCACAGCTCTCACCATGATGCTCTAATGGTCAGTAGAATAAGTCCACTGTGCTTCTAGCATCTCATGTAGATGCACCCTACCATAGAGGCATTAGATTTAATGAGCATTAACTAAAGCACACTAATGCACATGTAGACATTCTCAGAGAGTGATATCCTAGCTCCCTAAACTCAGTAGGAATTCTGCCATTGGCTTTAATGGGGCCAGGATTACTGTAAAGGTCAAATAGATATTACTTCTGTATTAGCATTAGTTCACGTGCCCCCACCATTTTTAAGTGCTGGAACGTTGATATGGGAGATAAGTTGACGCTTTAATTACAGCGGCTCTCAGAACCGCACCCGTACCCAGAGAATGTGTAAATGCGTTCACAAGTACTAAACTTAATGTGCTATAATTATGGCACATTCACATGCAGATGTGCCTGTGAGGTACTAGAAAAATGTGTATTAGCCTGTCTTAATGCACATTAACCAAATAGCATGGTTTTTAGAGACATTTTAATGCATGTTAAAATAGGTTAATGAACATTAGAGCAAATGTGTAGATGTGCCTATTGGAAGTATTTACATGGTTAAGAAAGTAGGATTTGGTATTCTGTGTGAATTCCCCTGACCATGAGAGCAGTTAAATGACTGGAAGGTCTGTAGACCCATACTACTACAATGTGCGTAAAAGTATGGAAGAGTACACATAGTTAATTAACTTTCTAGTTTCAGTAACTGAATTTACATGTTTACTCTGCAGTCATTTTAGATTTTTTAAATAGTTATATTATCTCATCTTCATTCCACAGGCATTTTATTTTAACTATGTGATAATTCTTACACAATTATCTATTGCAGAGCCTAGTCCAGTGTTGCACAATGTTAACCAGCCTGTTTAATCACACAGAAAGAGGTCTGTAAGTCATTACCAATAGTTTCCTTGTAATTATTTGAGGGGGAAGGAATGGGGATTTTAACAACTGGAGTAAAGTATACGTGCTGCAATCTTCAAAGTCACACTCTTCTAAAACACTATTTTGTCTAAAGTCTAGGTACTAAAGTAGAACAATTTGATCAGATCAACTTGATCAAAGCTGCTGACAAAGAGTTATGAAATTCAAATTGAAACAACCTCAACAGCACTCCTTTTTTATATTACATATGTATAAGTTTATAAATAAATATTTTACTCAGAGCCTCATCCATACTAACTGACTTCCATGAACTTCGGCTCAGCTCCTAAAAGAGGTTTGGGTCACAGCTATCTGAGATAGTACTCTTACTCCATCCTAGTGCAGCAACAGGTGAAGAAGACTGAATTTGCTCCATCTTTAGGAATAAATACTTATTTGAAAATGATCAGTCTGCAACCAAAAGCTTGATATACCTTAGGGAACCTGCACAGCTGTTCAGTATATTAGAAGGCTTTTTTGAATATATGTTTTCAGATCGAATACATATCTGTTGTAAAATTAATCAGCATTCTGAAAGTGCTGTGGATTCCAGAAGGTAATCATTTTCAGTGGAAATCAATATCAAGGTAAATACAGCAATTTTAGTTAAACAAAAAATCTTGACTCATTTTATAAGCCATCAGATCAGCCTTTTTTTAGCACTGTGTATACCATCAGCATTTCTGACTAAGGATTTATGGCAAGTAGTTAATAACTGTAGTTTAAGCTGAGTTTTTAAAATCCTCATTAATGTCACTGAAGTGAATATCAAGTGGGATTAATAATTATTAGGCACTTATCCTAAAACTGCCAAAATGAGCTAAATCCATGATCTTGCACTGGAACAACTCAAATAGTAAGCTAAAATACTAGGCCACTATGGGGCTGAAATATCTTATCTTCTGAGGTAGGACTATCACAGTACTTATACCTGTGGGCATGACACCACATCTGTGCCGCATCTGTGTTGGGATTCTCTTGTGTGCTGAGGGTTTACAGGTAGGCTTATACACTATATAGGCTTATTTTGAGTGCCTAAGTAGGTTATAAATGGTAGAAGTACCTAATGTGAGGGAAGAGGAAGAGGCAAAGAAAGAGGAAAAGTCAAAGAGGATGAGGAAACTTTTTTTAAATTTGGATTTATGTAAACTAGCCTATCAATCCAGTTGTTTCTGGTGAAAAAAATTCAGTCCCACAGTCTGGTATCAAGAACTCCAGACCCATAGCTAAAATGGGCATTATAATCCTATCATTTATAAATTCCAGTCTTTCATTGTATGGAAGCCAACAGAGTGGACAGACTGTATGTACCATATATATGTAGTATTGATACAGTGGACATAATGGAATAAAATTCATCATAAAAAGAAGTTAGACTCACAGAAAAATCAGCTTACTAAGAGTGATTGTTTTTATCCTGTTTCTTGTGGAGCAAATTACAGACCTTAGTGCATTTATTAAAGATTTATTTTTGACCCTAATGTTAAAAATATGTCTTTATATTTGTCTTTTTAATTTTTATCACTATAGCAATTACAAAAGTATCCCCAATGATGGCAGAATACACTTTCCTCAGCTGAATTACTATGTAACTATGAATGCATTGCTAAGAAATGTCCATACAATCAGGAACAATGAAATAAAAATGAAATAGTGCTTGCGTATTTACTGTCAGTAAAACTAATCTTTCAGTGTCTGAAGTGTGAGGAGAAATCTGCAGCAACATCCACTTTTTGCTTTTCTTGCTGCTTGTAGGTTACATTTTTAAATGTTGTTGTTGAGCCTCTGTACAGTGGATTTGTTCCCTATAAAACAGAAACATGCTAATAAGTTAAATGCAATTTTTATCAAATCTGCTGGTTGACCACTGACTCAGCTATGTAGATGCAACCCCTCAGCTTTAACATTACCTCTTCAAATTATCTATATACATATATGCAGCCCTCCCCAGCAAAGATTCAGGAGGCTTTGAGTCACCAGCCATGATTTAATACACAGATACAAACTACATGCATGTTCACTAGTATCTCTTTCCCTAAGGAAAGAAGGTGTTTTAATGCTTTACTTCAGAAAGCACCTCAATAGCTTGGTCCTGTACAAATACATTTAAAGATCACCAAAAGGCAAAATTATGACAGGCTGATAAGGAACAGCACAAATAAATCTAGGATTCAGAAAAATGTAAAAAGAAACAAGTCTTTTTGCTTAGGTTAACAAAATGACCATCATCATAAGCAACATTTATTCAAGGATGTAATTAGCCATGTGCCATACAATACTTTCTGATAGAATGTGAAGAATGGATCATTTTAGAGGAACAAGACTGTAATTTCTTTTTCTGTAAGAATTATATAAACTGTAAATCTGTCACTTCCCCTATTTGGGAGGAAAAGATGGGTACAGACATTTGGGAAGGGTGGACTGAGTTAAAAATGCCCACCCAATCTAAAGTAAGTGGGGATGGGGAGGCTAGTTCAGGGAGTTGGATCAGGGGAAAAGTAGGCTGGGGGGATTGGGGGAATTCATGGGGGAATGAGGAAGGCAGTAGGGATTCACAGTGGGATCAGGGGGGCAAGAGGTATCTACAGGAGGGACTGGGAGGCAGGCAGCATTAGTAGGAAGGACTGCG